TCTGCAAAGGTTATCATGCTATGTACTACTAAGTTTTTTATAGCCAACTCCGATGTTCTTTTGGTTTTTCTGAACTCAGAAGTTCTGAACACCTAATTTAGCTGAAAATGCCAGTGAGTCATCTTCATCCCTTGCCCACTTCATATTTGATCCCTGGGTTTCTCTGCCACGTATCTTATCTCTTCAGTCATGATTTCCATTTCTATGTACTTCTGTTTTGTGCTTGAGATAATTCCTCTATCTGTTATTCTCATAGCAACAATTCAGTTCTCAGTAGAAAAAAATCTTTTTTTAATTAAATTTTCAATTCAGGAGTCACTGTAAATTTTAGTTCTGACATGTCTTTTTTTTGCCCTAATTATTTCTCCTCCACCTGCTCCTTTCCTTCCTCCTTCTCTTCCTCCTCTTCCTCTTTTTGTTAAGAGTCCTGTTTTTTCTCTTCCACTAGATTTGCTGCAATCAGAGCCAACAGCGCTATTTGTTCAGCTGGGCTCCCTCCCTCAAGTTTCTGAATCCTCTTGAACAAGTGGTGATAACAGTCTCTTCAGAGTTTATATTTGGAAATATTAAACAAATAGATGTGGCTCACACAGCATTTTTCCTATCTACTGGGTCCTAGGGCTCCATTCAGGCCCTTCTCTGGGCATGGAAATCACCTACCACATTAGCTGGCATGGATTTGCAAAATTGCATAATAAAATCAACTATTGTGTTGGGGAAAATGATGTGTCCATTGCAAATGATTTAGAAATGAGGGGATAACTAAACAATGATATATGAGTGCTCAAAGGTTATATGACAACATTGATGATTCACGGCATGTGAGAACAAAATTCCACAAAAAATGTGTACCATGGAATGATGTACAAACCTGCCCAAGGGAAGGAAGGCCACCGATAAGAGAATCACATGACACGGAGTCTCTAGTTTCCAAGAGGAATATCTCAGGGGTACCTTATCAGCTAAGGGTCAGAGGAGATTCAACCTTACCTACCAAACTCAACTCCAATCTTGCTTCACACAGGGCTGATTTACTGATGAGTGCAATGGCATAGTCATTGGAAGATAATGTGCAAACTAATAATAAAATTTAATAAAATTAAAAAAAGAAATACGGGAATGAGAGAGAGAGGGAAGGAGGAAGGAAACGAGGAAGAGAGAGAGGAGAGAGAGAGAGAGAGAGAATGAATATGAAAATGAGCTGCCTTGCTCTTGTTGAATTTGTAGTTTGGGATTCCAGTAATTGATGAGACTGAGCTCTATTTCTGGCCCTCAAATATATTTAACTAGAATATATTTCATTGAGTATATTCTCCTTTATTTAACCAATTTGACTGAATTTGTATTTTTGTCAGCAAGCTCAAACTAAGATCCAAATCATAATTGAAGTTATGGTGATCTGACCAATTTCATCAATTTCTTACTTTAAGGTTCAGACTCAAAAAATCCAAATGTCTATTTAAAAACTTCATAGAATATCTAAAATCATCTGTCTTAACTATCTATAACATACTTCTTGTTCTATTTATATGTTTCAAAGAAACACATTCATACCAATTTTTTCTTCATTTCAGTAAATGTACCAAAATTTACCTAGGTGCTCAGGTCAAAAGTTTAGTTATCATTTTTGACTCTTGTTTAGTTATACCTCATATTTTATTTCTCTCTAGAACAGACATTATTACCCTTTGTCAATATTAAGTTTTATTCTAATCTCAGCATACCAAAGGATTGCATATCCTCCTACTCTAGAACTTAGTTCCAGGGTGGATTATTTTGACAATGAAATGCAAGAAGTTATGTGCATCATTCCTTTGTGTAAAGAATTCCACAAATGAATTGAATGTGAGGGGAAGTTGCATGCGACATTACCTTTGTGGAAGGATTTTGACAAAGGAATTGATTATCTTTTCCTGTATTATGATAGATGACATTCTACACAGTAGAATATCACAGCATGGGTTCCTGACTAAGCTAGAGTCCTCTGCTGACTCAACATATAAAATGAGTGTGAGTAAGAAATAAACATTTGATGCATTATGATACTGAGATTCATGGTGGTTTTTAATAGCAGCATTGTCTGTCCTACTGAAAACAAGCCTCAAGTCAAGCTGGCTCTCTTGTCAAAGTATACTGGAAACTGAATGCTGGTTACTTCTTTTTCTACTATCCCTGCTTTCCAAAGCACCCGCATCCGTTGCCTGGATTTCCCAAAGGAAATTCTTAAGTGGTTTCTGTTTCCTACTCTCCTGTTTCCAAAGTCCATTTTTCCACAGAGCAGCACAACTTGTTTTTAGAGTGAATTAAATTATGGTGTTTCCTTACATAAAACCCTCCAACAACTCCTCATTAGACTTTGAATAGAACTCAGAATCTCTCTGTGAACTGCAACTCTATAATCTGACCTCTATCTTTTTCTCTAAATTTATATCCTGCTATTCTTTATCTTTCTGCTCCAAGAAAACTGTTTCTCATGCCGTTGTCTGCTAATAGTAAACTCACTGCCTGTCAGAGTTTTTTTTTTTTTTTCTTCTTGCTATTCCTTCTGTGTGGAATGTTGTATCTCAAACCTCTGTGTGGCTTGACTTAATCCCTCCCATTTCACAAATGTTTATTCCAAGATTATATCCTCAGAGAATACCTACATTATCTAAAAACCACACCCCTCAATAACTCACTATACAATTACTCTGCTTCATTTTGTAAAGCACTCTTTGAAATCTTTCAATTAATTATTTATTTATTTGCTTAATTTATGTTTCTTCCTAGACCATGAATCTCACAAGGCAAGGATTTTGTTATTCAGTGTTATATCTTTGCTATATTAGAAAAATACCAGATGCTTACAAGGATTCAATAAATATTTATCAAATGAGTGAATTAATAAATAAATCACTTAAACAATAAGGATGTCAAAACAATACTGCAGTGAAGAGACAGCTGAATTAGAAGCAATATTCTTTCTTAAGTCCTTACCTAGTTTGTTTATTTTAACAGAAGAAAAATCAAAACATTGCTAGATAATAAACTTGTATGGCTTTTTATCTATGATTTACCACATATAATTCATTTAATAAATACCACTTGATTCATTCAACTTGCTTAAACTAGACAATGCACATTAAAACAATGTGCCTTTTAAAACAGGAATCAACACAGGAAATGTCAAACTTACAGTAGCAATAACTAACATTTTCCCAGTCCAAATTATCTAAATTTTCTAAAATGAGTCCATGAAATGGGCAAGAAAAAGGCTACAAAAGCAGAAGGATGGATTTGAAGGCAGGATAGACAAGTGAATTAAATAAGAAACACCAGGTTAAGAACTTTCAATGGAAAATAACATTCTGAACAGTTTAAACAGAAAGAATCCATTAGTAGAGTGTGTGAATGAGGTGTAAATGTGACCAATACACTTACTCTTCATCATCATCTCCTCAGCAGTATGTGTTTATGTGGACCTCCATCACATGACGTGATGACACATGTGAACCTCCCCAAGTGGGGCATAGCCTTGGATTAGTGTTCCAGTGGAAATGATGGATCTGTATGGTACACTTGCCCAGTTATCAGCTTTCACTCGTGAATCATACTACACACTGGCAAAGCAGATGGTCCAGGAGAGGAGCATTTACAGTGACCAAGACATCCACTGAGGATAACTGACTTTCAAAGGAGAGGAGCTTCTCTCCCTGGCCTCCGTGTCATTCTGATAAAGAACGGTTGTTATAGTCCCGAGAAGTGGGTCAGAATCTTGACTTTCCAGTTTTGAGTATGTTATTTTATCTTGATGCTGGATGAGAATGAGGATAGCAATATATCTCGCCTATATGTTTCCTGACATTGTTGTGAAAATAAGGTAACACATATAGAAGATTTGTTTTATAAACTGGCAATTTTTTGTTTTTAGTCTTTGTTTTTAATTTTTTGAGATTAATTTAAAGATGTCCTCTAAACTGAAATTGTCATATTTAAACATTTTTTTTAAAAAAGGAAAAGAAACAGCAAGCACCAAATGAATATGTTTGGCCATGTATCGTCACTTCTATTTAAGGCTAACAATGTTCATACCTCGTTGAAAAATCTTTACAGTAACTAGAAAAGTACACTGCTGTTTCTTCAAACATACAAAGGCACCAAGAGCTATCTCTCACTAGGAAACCACCATAGCATATTTGATACCCATCCATTTTCAAATAATCTCTCATCCAAGGAGAAAATTAAATTCATGGTCAGTCATAAAAACAAAGCAAAATTTTGATAGCATTTATAAGAATATCTAAAAATAAACACAAAATAATGTACTGTTTGAAACCTATTTGCTTTTATAGTATTTAAATCAACAAACCTCTGCAATCTAAGCTCCATGATCTCTAGTTATTTTGTTGCTTTACTTACTTGAGTAATTCTCCTGTTCCTCATTGAGTACATCCCAAAGATCTTAATTAATAAGCAGAATAGGAGGTGTGATGAATACTCTGATGGAAGCATTTAGTTTCATAAAAAATCTTGATCATAAAAATTTAGCTATCAATTATCCAAGCCCACTCCAATCCCACACTCAAAAGTCACTTTAGGAAAGTGATTATTTAGAAGTAAAGAGAGCATACATAACCAAAAATTGCGGTATACCAGGAATCTCCTTTCAACAGAGCTAATTTAACTCTTTAAGGAAAAGAGCACAGGAAGCCCTCTTGTTATTTATGAAACACATCATGTTCTCTCTTTCACATATACAATTCATATTATCTAAAGATATAAAAACGAGATTGTGGCTAAAGGAATCTGATTTTACCCATTTTCACCATCAAGCTGATCCATATAGTTGCCAATTATGAGAAAATATTTAAACATTCAAGTAAAGTGAATGAGGAATGATTAGCTACCTTTGGCTCAAAGACTAAGTCTAGTTTATATTTATGAAAATTATCAACTTTTTCCAGAAAAGAGGATCAAATGATGCCCCCGTGATTGTTTGCTGGTTGTGCCGTTTCTCTTACCTCATGGTGATTCTTGGCCAGCCATTCCTTAATGGTGCTGAGGGCAATGACTGCAGCAGGCTCATTTGGAAAACCTAAGTGAAGAACAGAATAAAAAGAAATGAAAAAAAAAATAAGATGAAGGCAATAAGAAGGTCAATCATGGGATGAGACTGGAGTCTCATTTAAACAGTACTCCACGAAACCAGTAACTCCTGAGCAAGAAAGACCTCTGCAAGACATATGTAGTGGTGAATTCTATGACCCCATTCACAAAGCATTAAGAGGCTGGTCCTATACCAGGTTAGAGTTAAAATATAAGTAAGGGCTGCCATTGTGGAGCATTGGGTTAAACCACTACTTGCAATTCCAGCATACCATATTGGAGTGCCTATCTGAGTTCCAGTTGCTTGTTTCTGATCCAGCTCCCTGCTAATGTGCCAAGGGGGAAGTAAAAGATGGCCCAAGTACTTGAACCCATCCCATTCACAAGAGAGACCTGGATGGAGTTTAGGCTCCTGGCTTTAGCCTGTATGATTTCCACCCATTGTGGCCACTTGGGCTGTGAACCAGTGATGGAAGATCTTCCTCCTTCTCTCTGTCATTGTGCATTTCAAGTAAATAAATAGATAAATAAATAAATATTTACAAAAGTAAATAAAAGGTTTATTTCCTCAATACAATAAATACACTGAATAATTTACAATGTACTTTCCTATACTTTTTCTCATAACAGGTACTCAGATTAACGTTTATTATTCTCAGTTTTCAAGTCAAGTAAATGTGGTTCAGAGAAAACATATTCGGCCAGGATCACTACATCAGAAGGATTCCATCAATGAACTCCCACAAGGCAGGTCAGATAACAAGCCAAACAGCCACACCACAGAAACTAGGTGTCAGAATACAAAGAAGATAACTCCTGCTCCATTTGGGGCTGTCAGAGGTGATGCTTGGGTTAGTACAACATAAACTTACCTGATTCTATAGTTTGGTTTTGGTTTTAGAAGAACTGTAAAAATGAGACTTAACTTCATCCCAGTGAGCTGAGCACTCACAGGTTATCTTCTTTAATTTATATAAAGTGAACACATTTCCTGCAGAATGTATTATATTCTTCTAATAGAGATAGAAGTATGTGAAGGAATACTTCATAATTTATATATTTATGAGGCATAAAAAGGAGGACAGTGACTATTTGATTCTAACTGTTGTCTTTAGTCTCATTACTGGTTTCCTAATTACTAAATCCCATCGCCTTTCCATGAGTCTTCAACACATCTGGTATTACATGTGCTTGATTTGCTTTTCATGATTCAATATCTCTGCCTTTCTGGCATTTTCTTTTTTAAATTAATTTTTAATTGTTTCAAGTAATACAATTTAGTAGTTTTAAAAAATACGTTCATATATGTTGTCGGTCGCCGCCCGCTCCGGCCCGTTCGCGCCGGTCCTGTCGGCCACGTCCCGCGGGGTGGTGGGCGCGCTGCGGCCCCTGGTGCAGGCCGCGGTGCCCGCCACCCCGGAACCGCCTGTGCTGGACGTGAAGCGACCCTTCCTGTGCCGGGAGTCGCTGAGTGGCCAGGCCGTGGGCCGGCCTCTGGTCGTCTCCGTGGGCCTCAACGTCCCTGCTTCTGTTCGTTATTCCCATACAGATGTCAAAGTGCCTGACTTCTCTGACTATCGACGCAATGAAGTTTTAGATAGTACAAAGTCTTCAAGAGACAGCAGTGAAGCTAGAAAAGGTTTCTCATATTTGGTAACAGCAACAGCTACTGTGGGAGTCGCATATGCTGCCAAGAATGTTGTCTCCCAGTTTGTTTCCAGCATGAGTGCTTCAGCTGATGTGTTGGCCATGTCGAAAATTGAAATCAAGTTATCTGATATTCCAGAAGGCAAGAATATGGCTTTCAAATGGAGAGGCAAACCCCTGTTTGTGCGCCATAGAAATTGAACAGGAAGCTGCCTTTGAAGTGTCCCAGTTGAGGGATCCACAGCATGATTTAGACCGAGTAAAGAAGCCTGAGTGGGTTATCCTGATAGGTGTTTGCACGCATCTTGGCTGTGTGCCCATTGCAAATGCAGGAGATTTTGGTGGCTACTACTGCCCTTGCCATGGGTCACACTACGATGCGTCTGGCAGGATCAGGAAGGGGCCTGCCCCCCTCAACCTTGAAGTCCCCTCGTATGAGTTCACCAGTGATGATTTAGTGGTTGTCGGTTCGAGACTTGGACTCAAGTCACAGGCTTCTTTCAGTCTTCATGTCACCTCCGAAGAATTATTTGAGAGCAAGTCTTCGGTACCTCAAGTTGGTTGATTTGAAATATTAAGGAATTGTTAATGATGTATTTGCAGACATTCATGTGAAGTAAATTGAATTTAATGTGAATTCTTTCAAGCATTCACTTATTAATAAAGCCACTGTTAAATATTGTTAAGCTCAAAAAAAAAATACGTTCATACAATTTTGTAACCATATTCACTAATTCTGGAACGTTTTGATCATTCTCAAAAGAAACTCTCTACCCTTTAATAGTCTCCAAACTTCATTCCACCCTCCTCCTTGCCCCCAACCCTTGGTAACTATTTATCTACTTTTATCTTTGTGAATTTTCAGAATCTCCTCTGGGGTTTTCAATACTATACTACCTTTTTCCACGTCTTCAGCTATCTGTTTGACCAGCTCTCTTTTGATTCCTCTTTGAGGAGCATCAATGGTAATGCAAGGCCAAGCTCCATTTATCTCAAGTTATAAAGCATAGGAGGGAATATGGAAAATGTGCACAAGTTCTTGAACACTTGGGTGTAACGCAGAGATTGTGAATTTGTTATAAAGCAGGAAGCTGGATCAGAAACAGGACAGTCAGAACTCAGCCCAGCACTCTGATATAGGATGCTGGCATCACAAGGGGAGGCTTAACCTGCTATGCCAAATGCTGTGAATTATTTAATTCTATTTATTGTCTTTAAATAAGTGCATCAAAATTTAAAACTCTAAAAATGAAGAATAAACTGTTAATTAACTCATTAGTTTATTCCTGTCTCCTAAAAGCTTGAATTGTCATTCAGACAAATGTAGCTGACTCTTAAACGCATTCCTTTGTCTTCTTCGCTGCCTTCTGCAATTTACCCAGTGCAACACTTCTAAGTGATTCTTACTAAAGCAGTTACCATCAGTCCACAAAATGTTCACCAAACTATGGCAGCCCTTGTTTGACTCTCCAGGAACTTCAAAATAAATATGAGCACCTTAGCTTACCACTACATATTCCAGGGGGCCATTAGGCCTTAATTTTCCCTATGTCTCCTCTTCCCATAAAATTCTTCCCCAATTTTTAAGTGTGTTTAATAAGTACCTACATAAGTACTTACATCATAAAATTGTAAGGTTCATATAAAGCTAATAACTACTGTAATCATGCTCAATGACAATGGTCATTTGTATTAGCATTCACCTTTAAAAGACATAATTCTCCACAGAGAAATTATAGATGTTCTTAAAGAATTCTGGCAACTATAATCCATTCTACATGATTTGTGACCTCCTGGTTACTCCCTCACACTCATCAACTTGTCTGGCATGGAGTTATGCATTTCAACTTTGCCTTAAAGTTTGCATCCAAGAGGATGACCGTCTCAACATCTGCTCAGCCAATTCCTTGACCTGCTCTTCTTCTACAACAGTCTCCTCCACGCCAACTCACCCATCAATGCTCTCTTTCCTGTATTTCTAAGCTCATACCATGCCATATCATTCTTTGCTTTCTCTATTCCAAATAGACTGGCATCATCCTTTCTACTCTTTAAATGTGATATGTTCCATTTTGACTTCCTCCTATAAACCCTTGCTCATGCTATCTCATCTTACTGAAATGATATTCCTGTCCTTTTTTTAAATCTTAATTTATCTGTCTTCTCAGTTTTAATTCCTCCAGTAAAGACTTAGCTGGTGTCTTATTTTATGATGCTTAATGATGTCTTATTTTATGCTTTCCTAATACCATATATCTTTCCGTCATGGACTTATCAAAGTTTGACTCCACTTTTTTCATGCAAATATGAGATTAATAATTTTAGTAGAGTGAAAACTTCAAAGAAACAGATAAAATATCTTTCTTTACTTATCACTGGATAACTAAACATTACAAGAACATAAGTGACTATCAATAAATAAGCATTGAAGGAGTAAATGGATTGTAGATTTGTGGTTCTCTGTATTGACAAGAAGAAAAGGCTCACTGCTAGGAGCACAAGGGTATTCAGCAATAGATATAGAGATATATGGATCATATCAGTATATACATATATATGTAGTATATACATATATATATATAGTACATACATATATATGTATATGCTAATACACACACACACACACGGGGGGGGGATAGATATATTAGTACAGATGAATGGATTCTGAGAAAGTTCCCAGATTGTTATAGCCACAAAATTAATAATCACATATTTCATCTCCAAGAGAAAAATTTTGAGAAGATGCATATCAAGAAAATAGTTCTTAGAAGAATTTCAGTTATTAATTAAAAGGGGATATCAACAGAAATATCCCTGAAAATATGCCTATTTCTTTATGTATGCATGTTCAAGAAAAACTATGATGTTCAGGATACAGAGCAACAGGACAGTTCCTTGTCCACTTAACTGCAAGCTCCCAAGGGTTAGAAATAAGAAAAATGGACAGACAAGGCCAGTTCCAGATCTTAGCCTGAGGATGTTTTCCCAAAGACCACAAGCCCTGAACGAGGAGATTGCAATGCATTCTGGTCTCCAGGGGATAGTCCACAATAGAAGTCTGACCAACCAGAGGGAACGCTACAGACAAGATTTGGATGAATCACTGTATTGGATGACATATAAAGTTTCTTCCAAGTATGAGGGTCAATGAGGTTACACAGTCATAAATAATTTAGGTCCAGACATGTGTGTGCATACCAAAGAGTGAAGAGAATTTGTGCTTCTGTTGTCATCCCAAAGCTTAGCTGTCTTTTCATTAAGATGGATTATTAAAATTAAATTTTGTTGTAAATGTGGAAGCTGATTTACACAATATGTAAATGATTTTTCTCTTTTTATTTA